AAAAGAACGAAGCAGAAGAAGCAGAGAAGCATTGCCCCTTCTGCTTCGGTTTTTGCATCGTTCTATATTCAACGGCTGTGATGTCCGGAAAAAGTGGTTTCAACTGGATATTGAAAAAAAATAATAATAATAAATCATGTTGTGTGGGAGCTGGCATGGGAGCAGGAGAATGATGAACAAACAACGAGAGAGAGGAGGGCGATTAATGAAAGAGTAAAAGAACGACGAGAGGATGTGTGACGACAACAACAAATTATTGCGAGAATGAACACGAACCATATCCCCGTATTGCCCCTTACCACCAGCACTCAAAGAGTCCTACTTTCACCCATACCCTCACTCTCCTTCACTCTCCTTCACTCTCCTTCACTCTCCTGCACTCTCCTTCACTCTATTGCACCTTGAGCTATGGCGGCTCACCCACGCTCACCACGGACGTTCAAAGGACAATCCAACTACAAATATGCCTCTCCCCTCTCCTCCCTCCATAGCCTCCCCCTTCTCCTCCCTCCATAGCCACACTCCGGGATGAACTCCAGGGCCAGCGGGTACGCACACAAGGGGCCTTCTTTGTCTTTTAGAATCGCTTAAGGACAAAGGGGCCTTCCGTCTTTTTTTTTAATATATCACCTGGCAGCAGGGGCCTCTAGATGCAGCGGCAACGGCGGAAGTGAGGGAGATGAAGGTCCACCATAGCCAAAGCTCAGTCTCTCAGGTCGGTTCCTCTCTCTCTCTCCCCTTCTCATCGTCCTGTACACCTTTCTAAGTACCCTACCTGGCATGAGGCGCTTCACCCTCTCCCCTCCATAGCCTACTCCTTCACCCTACTTCTCCATAGCCATGAAGATCTTCTTCCTCACCCTCCAGCTCCACCGCTGAGCACGAGCTCTGCCTACTACCTTCACCCTCTCGCCGCAGCCCCGGCATGCCTGCCAGGTAATGGGCCTCGTTCCACACCCCACACCCACACCCCACACTCAAGGACTTCTTGCCCAACACCGCACTCCAAACTCAGGGCCTCGAAACGTTCAAACGCATGTTCACACAGAAAGTAGAAAGATGCATCCGTTCCTATGAATAGCAACGGATGCATCTGAACGCGTTTTGGGGAAGATGCACTAGTGATTTTTTCGTTTCGACAGTGGTGTGGAGAGGGCCTCAGGGACTTCTTGCCCAACAGCGCACTCCAAACTCAAGGACTTCTTGCCCAACACCGGTGCCTTTGAGTGCAACCGGGGGCTACGGTAGGTCCCACTTGCACGAATTAAGAGATACTGACCGTAGATAGCAAAGATCAACGGCCGAAATCTCCTAGTTTGCGCAAGTGGGACCTTGCCCCGGCCGGGAAAAGCACCCGGGCGGCTCTAGTGCCGCCCAGGCATACCTACCCCACCCCCTTTTTTTCTTCTTCTTCTTTTTCTCAAGTCCCCTCTCTGGGCACACTTGCTCTGCACTTGAAAACGGTACTGCAGGAGTGTATAGAACCCCCCAAGTGCCGTTTTCAAGTGCAGCTCAAGTGCGTGTAGAACCCCAGCTATGTGTTGAACCCCACGATGTTGCAGCACCATAGCCTCTCATTTGGAGGGGGGACTTTACGGTAGGGTTGAGTGGAACGGAACGAGACTCGGGTACTTTTTAATCACGGTTGGCACGGTTGGAACTCCGGTGCGCACTTGAGTTTCAATTGAAATGAAGTGGTGTGGAAGGAGGGCCCGATGTTTTGCCTCCCTCAATGTGGCAAGATGATATAGGGCCTAGGGGCACCACTCACCAGATGTGCAAAATGATAATGAATCTTCCACACAATAACGCCAACGGGGACACCAGCCATATATTTGTCCTTTTCACATTTCGTGAGTGGTGCCGCCAGGCCCATATGCTCTTGCGACTGGGCCGCTGGACTCCTTTTGGACGCGGTACTACTTACTACTCCCTCTCCGGTGTGCCAGGCCTGCGGGGAGCCTTTTTTTTTTGGGGGGGGGGGGGCCGGGGGAATTGCATTTGTACACCAGTCCCATAGCCCAACTTGCATCTATACCCGGAGCCCATTCAGCTTTGCATAGTACCCAACTCTTTCGCAGTGTAGGCATACCCAGTCTCGCAAGCCCTCGGTTCCCAACCACGGAATTATGCTCATGCCCAGAAACGGTCTGGCAAAATTGTCGATGTACCCACACCCACTAGCGGGCCTTGGATTGCGAACCACAAAATTAGGCTTATGCTCACCGCGTGGACTGTTGTGGCCCAAGGGCTGCTTGGTATGAGCATAATTCAGCCATCCGCTAGTAGGGTATATGAATAATTTGGTCGGTCCACCTCAGTCCTGGGTATGCCCATAGTTTTGCCTGGGCATTTTTATATTTGCGCCTCTCTGTAGTTGGTTATAACTGCAATTTGCGGTACCATCCCGGGTCTACCTCAGTCCTGGCCATGCAAATAATTTGCACCATCCGTTTTCCCCGTATAGGTGCAAGTTGGGGTACAAATGCCATTTTTCCTTTTTTTCATACGTGGCCCAATCGACCACTGATCATAATAGATAGTACACTTTATCTTAGTCAAAAGGCCAAGAAAGGTATTACGGGGAGTTCTTGTCAATAGGTCGGAATGTCATTTGCAGCCTTCTCTGGACGTTGTGCGCATGCGACCACAGGTGTGGGGTTCGGCCTACCAGAGCAAAATGGCTGGCGGCACTGGGCTACTGGAGCAAAATGGTTGGCGGTGCTAGTCAAAAAGAGACCCGGGCGAGTTCATTTGTTTTTGGCGCACACGGCGTTTGTAGTATTAGAAAAAACAGACTCGGAAGTACTAGTGGTTGAAAGGTCTCAATCTAACCTACATGTTATCTGGGTACGATCCCTGACTTACTCATTACCTTTCTGAATGTTACTGGGTCCTACTTGGGAGTATCTGAGTCGCTGGAAAACTCGTACCGGGTACTAGAACATAGGTAGTACTCCGCATAGCAAGCAAACAACATTCTCACTCATAAAACATAAATCTTAACAAAGCAAACCATTCAGCAACAAAACTCAAACAGTGCGTACTGATTTTGTGTGGGTCACTGCACCATTCATTTTTCGCTCCTTTTACTGGAGGGGCTCAGATTAAGGACGAGGGTTTGAGAAGTCATTGCTGCCTTTGAATTTTCCTTAACTTCCATCACTGGATGTACTGAACCAACCATCTCACTTGGTAAGACGCACAAATTGCACTAAAGAGGTCCCAGATTCAGTACCCACTGCCTTATGTATGTTATTGGGCATGGTTGGTGCCCTACCATTTAGAGATACCCTGTTGGTCCCCCAAGCTAAAATTAGCAGGAGCTTGGTTAATTTTAGGTGTTATGCGACAATAATATTCAATAATGCTAGCGTAAGTTGGATTGGCAGGAAAGGGAGGTGCTACGAGTGGTCATAATGCTCCATACTATGACTACGATTGTTCCCTCACCAACTGCATTTGTTCATCCTCACATTATTGTAATGAGAGTATGGAATAGCTTTGTACTCTGGATTGTGTCATGCAGAAACACTAACCATACCACTTCGACACAAGGAGCTTCGCTATTCTAGATGAGTGCGCTTATTATACTTATCATAACTCCCTTATAACAGGATGGGGTCCCAGAGCGTACAACTTACCTCCACCCAATAA